GGCTTTTGAAAGTTTAGTTCTGCCATGTTGCGAGTGCCACTCGGTTCATCGGTATGGCCGCTTTATTGTCGATTTTCATTGTTAGCCCTTGCAAGATCAATCAATACCTATTCAATCCATGGCCGCCAGATTGCTCTGAACTCTGAATGCTTAACAGTTTGACAAGAATTTAGGATTCAGAAGACTCAGGGGCTTTTCTGAGTCCTCACTGCTGCAGTCATGGTAGTCGGCACGTTATTAAGGTGAGCTTCCTCTATTGGACAAATTTGGCACGCTTCCAAATGTTCTGTATTTTCAGTCCGAATATTATTCCCATCAACACAAACAATTCTACTCCTAAGCAGGTCAGAGGTTTTCTCTTTACTAATAACTATCAATAATGACCATAAATTGTCGATCAAATAGATGAAAGTGCCTGGTCGTAAAGTGACTGGGGGAGGTGGCAGAAGGTGAAGAGTTTGGTGCGCTAACTGGTTGAACTTGCAGCCAACGGCGAGCGCGGATCAGGAAGTCCGCGTTGCGGCGGAGGTGGCGCCGCAAGCGACCTCGCGCGACCGCCTATGCCAGCGCGCGGCGACTTGGTTTCCGCGCTTCGTCGCAACTCGGATTTTCTGACCAGCACCGGCAGTATCCAGTCGAAACCTTCTGTAAACCCACTAGCTCTAATCGCCTGAGGCTGCACCTGGACCATTCTTATAGCAAAAACCACCACCGGTTTTCTGCCACGAATCGGCTGCGTTGCGACCTCGGCGATTGCTTTGTAAGATGTCCGATGCCCTGCGGCAATTTTTTTTGCCCAAGTTGAAGCAATGTGTCTCAATTTCCTTACAGGCTCCGTGTAGCCCTGATGAACAAGTGGTGCTGAATGTTGGCGGTGAACACCATGTGGTTCACACTTCAGACATGAGACGCTATCCCAATACGATGTTCGCTCGTATGGTGGACCAAATTTGGAGGAAAGATTTAGGTTAGCAATGGTTATCATGTTGACATCATTTAGTTCAAATTCTTACAGTATTTCTAGGTCCGAAAACCATATTTATCGATCGATCTCCGAAATATTTCAAACTGATTCTGGAGTTTATTGTACATGGGACTGTACATCTCCCACGATCTGACATAGAGTTGGCTGAAATTATTCAGGAAGCCGAAGTAGGTCAACTCCTATATCTAAATCGCCTCCTTCCATAATACCCCCCTCCACACCTAAAATGCGGTCCAAAGATTTCTCCACTGTCCCGCAGCTTCGTATACCTAAGCCGTGGCTTTCGCGGGCGGCTGAATGTACAGTCGTCATCCTTGCACTTGATAGGGGCGTGTCGGCGAGAAGGAGCGTGCACACTGTTTGAAGCCTTCTCAGCCTTTTCGTTGAAACGCGTATGCGACAAAAAGTGATAGAAAACGAGTAACACGAAGGATATAATACAGTAATGTCACTTCCCTGCAGTTCACGATTGGTGCAGTAGCGGGTGCGGGCGACCGGCGCGCACGCAAGCCGCAACTGACATTGACCTATCCAGTGGGCAAGGATGAGGACTTGTATGTGCATAATTGGGGAGATCATCCTTCGTGGCCAGCCGCTGTTGACGCACATGTACTTTTTTCAAAAAAACTGCTCGTTTCGCCAGACCGTGCACGATTATTGACTGGCGCATGCACGAATATTGATTGTTCTCGATTATACACATTAAGTGAACTGATAATAGTGATTGAACGTGAACATCGCCAAGAAATACTCATACGACATGTGCACGTATATCGATTTTCCTACCAAATTAGATGGAATGACATCACTGATTGTTCTTGTTAAACCGCGCACGAATATTGATCGATATATAGCACGAATATTGATTACTTGCAGTTTTACCAAGTTAGACGAATTGATATCGTTGGTTATACGTGAAGATCGTCGTTGCTTTGGTGAAGGACCGCCCTTTTTCCCGAAAGACAGGTTTCTCATGTACCTCACTTCTTCTTTATTTATTTATTTGACACCCTCTTTTTAACACTCTTTTTCCAGCTGGAAATCGCACTTCTCACGATGTTCACATTTGTTAGCCGGGCAGCTAGGTACCACGGGCCCCCCCGCGCCTTTGCGAACATGTTTCAACACTTGCACAGTTTGGAATCCGAGGTTGGTAAAAGATGTGCAGGCGTTACTCAGGGTAGAAGGATGCACTCAATCCTGATCCTATATGTAGGAGCAAAACAGTAAGGGAGCGCATATGTACAGTCGTGATCCGTGCAAATGAGAGGGCGTGTGACGGGGCGTAGCTTGAACGGCAGTCAGGGCCGGATTCTTCACAATTACACGCGGGCCTGCATTGGTGGGGGGGGGGGGGTGGTATCTTTTTTTTGCACCAAAGGCTTCCTGGCACCGCGCCCATCACACCGCCTCAGGATCATCATGTAGAATGGAGGCGGTGGGTGTGGTGTGCCAGCCTGGCGCAGTGAGTCTCTTAAAACCAAAGGGTTTTGGTACTGGTAGTCAGAAAGCAAGGCAGAAGGGTGGGGTACTGATGCTAACATTCATCCCTGTCTGCGAAAAAGGTGCATTCCGCGATAATGCGATGGATGGGGAAGTAGTCGGAGACTTGTGAACATCGTGCCTCCTTTATTGTCGTGGCCCTCCCACGCACGAAAGGTGGGCCAACGAGCAAGGTCGGTTGGTTGTCTCCGCGCATACTCTCAGCGATTGGACTGGGCATTTTACCGGAAGCTGATTGAAGTTTGGTTTGACTCTTGCAAAGCCACTGAAACGGTCACGAAAAAAAGGAACTATAAATTTCAGAGTCGTTTGGAAAACGTGTAATTTTTGGAGACAGATGATAGCCAGAGGTTGGAGTTTCGACGGCAACAAGGCGCAGTTACCATTATGTTTCACGCATTTCACTCGTGAGTGTAAACTCGTACAAGACCATTGGGAAACTCGTATACTTGTGGGAGTGCAGTGTGATCCTTATACTGATATATTGTCTACATACACTCGAAATCCTAGAGATGGGGTAGGCGTGGCTGCGTTTTTCAACTAAACGTGGCGGTTACTGTGCTTTTGGGAGAAATATTTCCATTCTGACACAATTGTGGTCGTGTCTCTATCCAATGCAGAACAAGATGACAGTTGTCTCAAACTGAAATATCCCTCGAGTGACCCGTTCTGTGCCATGCTCAAATGCCACGCCTACT